AAGAAAGAAAACCAACACAATTTCGTCGGTTATTTTTCACATAAAAATACATAAAACTCTTAAAAAGAAATTATTATTTTTTAAAAAGAATGATTTTTTGTTAATTTTTATTTTTTTAACTAAAATTAACTGACACATGTCGATTTAAAATAAGAAGTTGCAATTGAAGAATATATATAAAAATAAAGAAATCATAAAAATAGTATTTCATGTTAAAATGGTACATATAAAATGGAGTTTAAGGGTTAAAATGGAACAAGACTAAGTTGGAGTGCCACAATGAAAAATGAGAGCAAGTTAGAGGGGTTGTATATGTGTTTGGCCTATATTCGTGAATGATTTGTAATTCAATACCATGAAATATTTTCACTAGACTCTCAATTGAAAAAAAAATTGACAAAAAATAACAGTAAACTTAAAAGGAGAATCATGAAATAATCAATCTTCTATCATTATTATCCAGAATTTGATCCATTAAATGACACTGCCACAAAATAGCCTTTTCAATAATGTCGAATGTCGCTTTGCGACAAAACAAATAAAAGGCCAACATAAGCAATTGTCAATGATAATAATGCCTATTGAAACACTGCCTAGAGTATCTTGCTCCAACTCTATGGGCAACCCACTTACAGTCACCCACCAAGACAATATGTTGGATTCCAAAAAAATTTCATATCACATCTAATGATCTAACAAGATCGCGCTCTAATATCACATGCTGAATTTTTTTTATAGAATTCACCCAAGATCATAAGTAAATCATTAGACAGAAATGTGAGTTAATAAAACTGAAAAGGAAACTAACCTTGTTCCATGACAATAACTTTATTGAAGAACTTGGTCTTTTAAACCTTGAAGATTGTTTTCCTATTGTTCTATTTCTTAGATGGAGAGAAAGAAAAAAAAACAACATATCTTCTGGTTTAGGGACCAAACCCTTTTAAGGATTCTAAAGCGTCTTTTCAAGAAATGTACTTTTTGCAAGAAAGGTACCTCTTCAATAAGTCTCCATCAAACATAAGGAAAATGATAATGGGTCTACTAAATTAACTCCATTTTAATAGATATTTACTTTTATGTCCAAATATTTTAATACTTTATTAAATCATAAATTAGGCTTATTTAAATGACAATATATCTATATACTGACATATTGATATGTGAGTCCATAAAATAGAAATTACTAACATACTATGCTTCATGCATGATATAGACTCTGTCCTTTAGGAAAACTCGATATGAGCATTTGCAACTAAATATGAAATTAAGTTTGGATCAACAAATATGTCTAACATTTAACTTGAATTATATTTAAATGATGATTATACCAGTGATAATTTTCAACATTTTAATTTCTCTATAACAAATAAAAGAAACCAAAACAAAGAGAATTTCTTATCAATCTTCAATAAAGTAACGGGTGATATAAAAGATAAAATATCAAACTCAAAATCATAGAGTCACGTGTTGATAACGTGTTATAAAATCATAAGAATAGAAGAAGAATAAGTAGAGAAGGGACAAAAAATTTAGGGATAATTTCAAACATATACAATAAAGTAATTAGTTTACAATTGTGTTTTATTTACATAACAAATAGTCAAAAATCATAAAAAATATACATTGACTAGAAGTGAGTCAAAAATTCCCAATAATAATTTTCCCCTTTTTCCTGAATTCATTTTTTTTGGAGTATCTAAATTGTTCAGGTCACTTTCATCTCCTTCAGTAGGTGCTAATAGTGGGTGAGATGATGGTGATAGTGGTGGTAAGAGTTTATTAGTGAGGCTTGGTGGTGGTGAAGTGTTAGGAAGGAAATTAAGGAGAAGTTTAAGGATTTTTTTTATTAATTCAAGAATTTGAGAATGAGAGGTGGTATTAAACAACTTATTGGTGGTGAGGTGACAGAGGTGGGAGGAAGGGGTGGTTTTTTCAGGGGAGTCGGAAGAGGATTTGAGGGAGGGGATGGAGGCAAAGGTAGTGGAGGGGTAGTGTTTTCCAACAAGAATGGAGGTGGTGAAGGGTGACAGAGATGGAGAGTAATGTGTAGGAGATGAGAAGGAGAAGATAATACTAAATTGTCACTTTCAATAATAAATGATTTACTTTTTAATTGGACTTTTGTGTATGAAATTTAACCTAATGGATGTTTGTCTAATTTTTCCACAGTTTTAAATATATATGATAATTAGTTTACAACAAATATAACCATTTTTTCGGAACCCCAAGACAACCAACAGTCGCTACAACCTCTGCTCTTCGGGTGAGCACTTTGTGCGCACTGGATAAACTCTCCACTGTGTAATAGCATGCAAACCACACAGGGAATGTAAATCGCACTAGGCATGCCCTATGCGGCAGACTCGACTCAAAAGACATTGAGGGGGGATCGATCCTGAGTCATTCGTGTGGATAATCACCCTCCAAACCAACTGAGCTATCCCGAAGGACATAACCATAATTTTACTCACATAAAAAATAGGGAATATTATACAACAAGGCAAAAATACCAACATATTTATGAAACATAGATATAGTTTAAAAAATTACAATAAACCACTATATGTTGTTTTTGTAGAAAACTCTCTCCCTGCCTCCCTCTCGCCCCTGCCAATAAGAAGAAATCCATTCAAATGTATTATGTATCAATCATATTCAATCAAATATAGGTGAGATTTCGTATTTTATATCAATTGTATACAAAAAAACTATATTTGTATTTTGTATTAATTGTATTTGTATTCATATGAATACAATATGCATTCATCCTCTCAGTGAATATATTATGTACAATTGTATCCAATCAAATATAGGTGAGAGATTTGTATTTTATATCGATTGTATCAAAAAAGTTAAACGTGTATTCAACTATATTTGTATTCTATATCAATTGTATTTGAAATACAATGAATACAACATATATTCATACGCTCTCCTCTTCTCTTGATCTCGCTCACCTCTCTCTTCCTTCTCTCGATCTCGCTCACCTCTCTCTTCCTTTTCTCGATCTCGCTCACCTCTCTCTTCCTTCTCTCGATCTCGCTTACTTCTCTCATCTTACTATTTATTCATTCTGACACAATTCAAATTGTATTTGTATTTTTTCTTCGAAATTCATGAAAAATAATACAACAAATACAAATTAGTATACAATTACTATTCAATTTTGACCAACTCAAAATCACCTCTAAACAATCTCAAATTTTAGATATGAGATCATTCGATGTTTTGAATCTTTTGATATATAATCTACTCGAAATGATTCACATTTGCGGAACATCAAATTTTAAAGAAAAGGGAAAGCAATGATGAAGAAGAAGACACAAAAGAAGAACTGTGAAGAAGACACAGGAGAAGAAGGACAAAAAAGAAAAGAAGAAAAAGAAGGGGAGTACGAAGAAGAAGCATAAGTAGAAGGAGGACGAAGAACGCAAAAAAAGAAAAAGACCCATATAGCCATTTTTTTTTGAAAAATAACATGGCCGAATTGCCATTTAAGTAAATTTTAAAAACAGGGTTAAAAACATGGTAAGTAGAGATTACGCACTGACATTTTGCATAATTTACCTTGAGGGATAAAATACACTTAAGAGGACTCTGTTATTTATAAGAAAAAAAAAAAAAAAAAAAAATTTTATAAAAAAAAAAAAAAAAAAAAAAAAAAAAAAACTAATTTGATCCCAAATTTATTTTTTTCCTAAGAAACATACGAGATAGATAACTACTAGATATAATATAAATATAACATTTTTTTAACTAAAAAATAGTCAAAACGTGAATTTGAACCCTAAACCCTACGAACGCAAATACCTCAAATACCGTCTATGGCCACGCCGGCCAGCGGTCAGCCCCCCACTGGGGTTGGTCTGCCCACCATAAACAACCCTACCACCACCACTAACAATCTTGATTATGCTGTTGCAGTACATAATTCAATTGGCCCACAGGTGGCGGAGCCTATAGATATTAAACCTATTATTTTTTTGCATGGGGAGCCAACGATTACATGGACAAAGAAGGAATTTGAGAAGTTAACAGTGAGACAAAATCTCCAATATGCTGTGGTAGCTAAATTTTCCTATGGACGTCCTGATCTATATGAATTGAGGAAGGCAATTCCGATCCAATTGGAAATTAAAGGACCATGTAATATTGGTTTCTTAGAGGAGAGGCACATACTGATTAGATTATCATTACTAGAGGATTATGCAACTTTGATGTCTAAAGCTTGGGAACTCAGAGTAAGGAATAGGTATTTCCCCTTAAGATTCTTAAAGTGAGATCCGTGGTTCAACCCAGAGGAGGAAACAACCATTGCCATTGCATGGATTTCGTTCCCCGGATTGCCAACTAATTTGTTCGATAAAGAATCCCTTTTTTCTTTGGCAACAGCTGTGGGGAAACCTCTAGTGATTGACAAAGCCACTAATAACCAAACCAGACCTAGTTGTGCGAGGGTTAAAGTGGAAGTTGATTTGCTAAAAGAACTACCAAAAAGAATTCAAATCAATTGTATAGAAGAGGAGACGGGAATAGTCAAATCAAAATGGCAAAAAATCCACTATGATTATCTTCCGAGATACTGCACACACTGTAAACTTCAAGGACATGATTTACAGGGATGCTGGATATTACACCCTGAGCATAGGCCAAAGAGAGAAGAAAAGCAGGAAGATAAGAAGCTAAATGACAACGGAAAAGAAAAAGAGGAGGAGGACAAAGGGAAACAAATACCAAACGTGAATGGAGTGTTTAAGAATGGGAAGTTAATTCATGAAAATTGGAATGTGGTTCAGAATAAAAATAACAAGAATAAGTTGCAGCATGACCTAAACCAGAAAGAATATGATACCCAGCAGAATCACAACAACAAGAATAAGGATCACAAGGATAATAAAGGTGACAAAGGAACGGCTATCACTAATAAATTTGGGACTTTAGTGCATCTCACAGATGATGAGCAAGATGGAGCAGAGAAAAATGCAGAAAGATCAACAAGTGATAGCAACCTTAAAGGTGAAGATAAGACTAAACAATGGGTAGAAGCAACTTTTGGCAAAAGTCATAATGCAGCAAAGATAGCCAACAGTCAAAGTGAAGATAACAATAATCAGAGTAGCAAAAATATAGAAGATGAAGTAACCCAGAATACCGACAATATGGGGAAACAAAAGATACAAGAAGAAGACATAATACAAGAAAAGCAACAGAATACAGAAGAAACAATAGTTAGTGAGGATACAAAAGACGATTTGCATATAATTGAAAAGGTGCTTGCAGATTCAGGCAGCCCACAAGTTGTGCTCACCCCCCAAAAATCACCAAATAATAGCAATCCAGCAACACAAGGAAATCAGGACCCTGCAAATTCAACAGAAACAGCTACATCAGTAGTGGCAGACACACATCAGGGTAATCAAGACAATAGCATAGAAACTCAAAGCAAAGACAGAGAGATAGATAGAATAGAGGAGAACAGTAGTCAGATAGGGGCAGAGAATCAGAATATAATAACAAATAAGACAGAAAGTCAACCACAAGGAGAACATAAAAATGAAGTCCACATTGGAGATGATGATGAATTGGAGAACAG